AAAAAAAAAAAAAAAAAAAAAAAAAAAAAAATAAACCCCCCCAAACACACACAAAAAAAAAACCGGGGGGGGGGGGAGGAAGATATAACAACTATACTTTCATGAAGTTGTTACAACAAGCAAACGGAAAGGACATTCTTGGGGGGGAGGGGAGAGAGGGAGGAGGGAGGGAGGTGTCGGTGATGGGCCATAATAATCAACCACATTGTATATTGACAAAATAAAAATTTAACAAAAAAAAAAAGAAATGCTGGCAAGGATGTGGAGAAAAGGAAACTCTTCTACACTGTTGGTGGGTCTGTAAATTGGTACAGCCATTATGGAAAACAGTATGGAGGTTCCTCAAACAACTACAGATATAGCTGCCATATGATCTAGCAATCCCACTGCTGGGTATATACCCAAAAGAATGGAAATCATCATGTTGAAGGGATACCTGCCTTCCCATGTTTATTGCATCTCTATCTGCAATAGCCAAGATATGGAACCAACCTAAATGTCCATTGATGGACAACTGGATAAGGAAAATGTGGTATATACACACAATGGGATACTACTCAGCAATAAAAAGAATGAAATTCCACCACTCGAAGCAATGTGGATGAGCATGGAGAAAATCATGTTAAGCAAAATAGGCCAGGCACAGAAAAAGAAATTCCACATATCCTCATGCATAAGTAGGAGCTAAGAAAGATCAGAATAAAAAGTAGAATTTTCAGAAGGAGAGAACAGATCTATAGTTACTAGAGTTGGGAAAGAGGGAAGGGGAGGGGATAGGAAGTGATTGGGTAAGGGACACAAAAAGTATTTATGATTTGTAATGATAAACATGCCAATAATATTGATCTGATCATCAGATACTGTACACAAATACTGAGAGTCAACTCTGTAGACCATAAATATTTATAAATAAAAATTAAAAATTTCAAAAATTAACAAAGAAAAAATAAATTGTTGATACAAAAGAAATTACTATTTTACCTTGTGGGCCACACAGGTGAGTGTATGCAGGACCCACACACTGACCAAAAGGAGGCCAAAATAGCCCACCACACACTTCACTGCATTGAAAAAAGAAGAGTCAACAGCAGAACCTAAAGAGGAGGAAGTCTTCCCCTTCATACCCTACTCCAGAGTAATAGAATAGTTAAGTGTTCTACCAGACGACCAAACATCAGTGTAAAAACACTGGACTTATAAGTAAACAAGAAGATATAACACCACCAAAGGAATATGGTTATTTCTCAAGTACTAAACCCCATAGAGCAAGACATCCTTGAGATGTCTGAAAAGGAATTCTGAGCACTGATTTTAAGAAAACTCCAAGAAATAAAAGAAGTATCAATTAGAGAACCCAATGAAACAAGAAAAAATATCCAGGATATGAAGGAAGAAATTTACAACGAGATTAATAACTTAAAAAAGACTGTAACACAGCTCCTAGAAATGAAGAATTCTCTCAGTGAAATAAAAAAGAGAACTGAAAGCTTGAGCAGCAGGCTAGAACAAGCAAAAGAAAGAATCTCAGTACTCGAAGGCAGTCTATTTTTTAAATATTTTTAAAATTTAATTTAATTTAATTTTAATTCTCAAAATATATTGCACTTGATTTTCATGCCCCTTTACCTGTTCCTCTCCACCCCCTCCCCACCCCTCCCACCCCCACATTGTATCTGTGCACTTGGCTTAAATAGTTCAAGGAATTTTTGTGGTTATTCTGTCTTCTTCCCCCAACCCTTTATTTGTTTGTGTGTTTATTAATTTATTAATTTTTAGCTCCCACAAATAAGTGAGAACATGTGGTATTTCTCTTTCTGTGCCTGACTTGTTTCAAGTAATATAATTTTCTCTAAGTCCATCCATGTTTTTGTGAATAGTAGTATTTCATTCTTTTTTATACCAAAGTAGTATTCCACTGTGTACATGTACCACAGTTTCCTTATCCACTCATCAGATGATAGACATCTGGGCTGGTTTCAGCTTTTGGCAATTGTATATAGAGCTGCAATAAACACTGGAGTACAGGTATCCCTTCGGCATGATGATTT